AACACACATTTACATGTCGTACCTAAATAATTATTGATTTTTATGTTTATTTCCAGATACTACTAGTGTACAAATTAAAAACATGGATCAATTAACAGATTCGCCAGCCGAATGGGATGACAATAACTTCGAAGAAGACGCAAAAGAAAACCAAAAATGGACTGTAAAGGATCATGTATTGTTTTTGATTGACGCTTCAAAACCCATGTTTCAGCAATCCCATAACTCTCAAACTTATTTTTCTTTGTGCGTCGAGAGTTGCAAAGCCGCGGCGATAAATATTATTAAAAGGTGTAAAAACGACAAAATTGGCTTACTGTTGTTCGGAACAAATAACGATAACAAAACGTGTCCAAAATATTTAAACGTCGTGTGGGAAATCAAAAAACCCAATGTCGAATTTATAAAAATGCTAGACCAACTAGTAACCGTGGACGAAACCAAATTTGGCTTATCGCCAACCAATCCAATAGTCGATGCCGTTTGGTATGGTAATTTCTTGTTGACGAAATATCGGGAAAAACAAAGTCATTCGAGTTTGGTATTTATGTCTTGCTGTGATCAGCCGCTTGTTGGCGACGGCAAAAAGTTATTCATTTTAAGAAAACGGTTAGAAGATGTCGTCGCTAATGAATTTGCATTTAAATTTATTCCTCTCGGAGCCGAATTCAATATGGGAATATTTTATAACGACTTACTTGATAATTTTGAACACATCGTGAAACCATCGAATGGGCTGGACAATGTCGACGATATTGTTTCTGAAATTGATACACACAGCCCAAAGAAAAGAAGCGTAAACGCCTTACGATTGTATTTGGACGATACTACATTTTTTTCGGTTTCTTTGTATAATTTTTTTTCAGAATTCAAACTGCAACCAAAAGTGAAATTGGACAGAAGTTCTAACGAACAGGTCTATTCGTATAGACAAGTAATGCACACCGACACCGATGAGGTGATGTACAGATCTGATTTGGCCAAATATTGCAAAATATCAAACGCTGAAATAATATTCCGGAACGAAGACCTTGCGATTCTCAACGACAACCTAATGGATCCCGGAATAAGATTGCTCGGCTTCAGAAGTCCCGACGATTTGTACATTTACTATCATTTCAGGACGTACAGTTTTATTCAACCCAACGAACACGACGTCGAAGGAAGTTCGGTAATATTCAACAGTCTTTGCGACACGTGTTTGGAAATGAACAAAGTGGTTATGTGTTATCTAAAAGTGCGACGAGGCGGAAAAATAAATCTAGCAGCATTAATCCCTCAAGCGGAAACTAATGATCAGCCGGCCGGCTTTCATGTTATGTATCTGCCGTTTGCCGACGCTCTCAGAGACGTCAAAACCCAATCGTACGATCGTGTCGAGCCGAACGACAGTCAGATTCAGTTGGCCGCCGACATATTGGACAGATTGTCTTTCGACAAAAATCCTACAACGATACCCAATCCCAAAATAGACACTCACTGGGCAATGTTGGAGGCGTTGGCCCTAGACTGTGAACAACCAAAACAAGTCAAAGACGAAACGCTACCCGATTTCGAAGCCATTGAACGAAACTTGAGTGGTTTGAAAAATAACATTTACGGTCAACTCATTCCGGTCGGATACAAACCGTCGACAGCCGCTTCTGTTAGCGCGTCGAAACGTCCGGCTTCCAATTCGGATCACGTGGAAACGATCAAAAGGTTTCGGTCAAACCCCAAAATGGACACGATGAAAGATCTCGTCAAAAAAGGATTGGTGGACAAGTTGGTCGTCAACGAACTGAAAGAGTTTTTGAAAACCAACGGATTGCCGATCGTTGGCAGTAAAGCGGAATTGGTCTTTAAGGTATACGACTTTTTCGAAAATCTAAACTAACTTTTTAATTTATTTATTTTATTATTTTTATTTGTTAAAATCCACGTGTTTGTAAAAGTTTATTTGTCGAGTTATATAATAAAAAATAAAAATCAATTGTACGAGAGAGAAAAACACCTCAATTTGTTTACGTCAATTGATTGTTTACTTAACTCGTTCGACCAGCGTTGGGTTAGCTAGAAAAATAAACATTATCTTTTATTAGGTCTGTTCTTAAATTTATTCTCTCCGATTTCAATTGTATATTTGTATGTTAATTCCCTAATCGGTCAAACTAATAAAATAAAGTACGTTATATTTCCACCTTAATTATAACCCGGTAAACATTTCACAATAAATGATTTAGATCTGTTTTACTCAATTTAAAAATAAATAATATCCGTCAAACTTATACCAAAATTCAACCGAAGCCAAGTAAAAGTTTTGATTTACAAACTGAACGACTTGTCGGCTTTTTTTACCATTGACGTTTACTCAAATATAATAATAGTATTGACAGCACATCATTTTTCTTACGCATAATAAAATAAAAAAACGCCAACACATTGTCGATTGAAAATATATTTTAAACTTGAATTTTTTTTTTTTTTTTTTTCAATGCTTTTTTACTCAACAACTTAAGTTTTACACAACAACAACAAAGATTGAAAAGCGAACAAGACATAAAAATTAATGGAATAATGATGATTATTTATATAACATTGGCAAAATGTGTTTTATATAATTAAAAAATAATAATATTACAATAAATGTTTTTTAACAATATCATCGATTTAATAAAAATATAATAATTTATCGAAAGTAAATTGGGCACACGCAGTAGTCGTAAAACTATTAATTTATCTTGCGGTGAATTTAGAAAAAAAAAAAATTATCCAAGGTGTACAAATGAGGAATTAAAATTTAATTGTAATCATTGTTGAAAATTTTAAACGCTGAAGAATTACTTGTAATTAAAACGCTATTTAATATGCAAGACGATGAGAAAAATCTAAGTTACACTTTCACTACTTTTATTGCTATGAAGTAAAATTACTTTAAAGACATTTTTAAATGAACGAATAAAGTTTGTAAAAGGCAATATGTGAAGTATTTAATTATCAGTTAGATTTCTAACGCTGAATTTAATGTTTTAAACTAAGTAGTTAAATTCAACAAACGCATAAAAATATTAGATTCAATTTTTTTTGTTTTTTTTACATTTTTTTAATTTATACAATTACAGTACCGTCTCATATTTTTTTTTCACACTATTTCATAGATTAACAACGGTTTAGGTTTTGACACTTAAGAGATTTTTTTTTTTTTATTGCTACAAACTATGTATATATATATTTTTTTTAAGACTAATTAAATACACAAAATATAACAAGATTTACAATTTTATAAAGTATTTGATTCAAATGATTCGTTATCGAACACTTTACACGTATGACATAATATATTAAAAATAAAATTTCAATTCAAAATGCGTACTTTCATAATTTCAAACATTACGATGAATATTACAATATATATCGATATATTTCTCGTTAATCTTAACTACTCTTAACTCTTAACTCGTTTATTTATTTGTACTCTCTTAACAACGTGCGACCGACATATCGGATTATATTAGAAACGGGTACTTTTTTAATAATCGACACAAAATGTAAAAAACGCTAATTCAAATAAGACATACGAAACATGTGCAAATGGAAGATCGTTTATACGAATAATATTGTACGCAATTTACCGTTGCAAATACACGTTTCAAAACAACTACACTACGGTTTAATTATTAAACTTTTTGAAATATAAAAATATTTCTATTTTAAAATCATAATAATATATAAAGTGTAACACCTGTTGTTACTTCTTGTATTGTAAAAGGGCAATACATTTAAATGAACTCTACGAAAACTTATAGACACGACTTTTCGTTCGATCGACGTTTAAAATTATTACGACAGTGATTAGATAAGAGAAAATAATATATAATATTATCTCAAAAAGTGTAATAAACATATTGGGTTTACATTATGATACATAAATTTATAATATAATATTTAAAATTTAAATTTAAAATATCGAATACAGACAATATATGGAAATATGTAATGTAAAATAAAAAAATTACGCACATTAAAATATATATATATCAAATATGGTTTACAATATGAGCAAAAAGTATTAAAAGTCAATTAAAGTATATTATAAATAATTATTAAATATTACGGTACGTCATAAATACTATATACTTGGTTTATATATTTAAAAATTCTCTTATATATATACTTTTAGCACAACGTTGTAATTATAAACAAAACGAAAAAAAAAAATATATATATATATATATATAATATATTATATTAATAAATATTTACAAGTATGTTATTTCTATATAATATAATAATATTATGTCGACAAAATGTATGTATAAATGGATTTCAAAGGAACGCAATCAGTTATCACTCAATCGAATTATTAAAAAAAATATAAGATATTATAAACGCCTTACACGACGTACAATTTTAATTAAGGAAAATTATTTCTTATAAGTGTATATTATTTATGTTTTGAACAAAGTACTCGAAATACAATAAAAAAAAACATATTTATTTTTACCAATTGTTTTTTTTCTTTAATGTATTTTTTTTTTTTTTTATTCATACGCAATTAAATAAAAAAACGTATCCTGTGATGTCTGAATCGGTTACATTTCTCTACACAACATATCTATATAAACTATTAAATAAAAAATAAAAAAATCCGAATAAGTACGATGGATGTTATCACAGATAATAGAAAGAGACGTAGAAATGGCCGGATGCGGAAAAAAAAAATTAACACTATTTTCTAGTAGCGTCTAACACAACACCTAACTAATCGAATTTTTAAGGTCGTACGTACGGCGATTTATTTTAAACGATCACGTTAATAACATTTAAATCTGCGTAACTCGAATATAATATATATTGTCACACGAAAAGAAATAATAAACTATTATTATTATTATTATTATTATTATTATTATAAGAACAGACGTATATCGTCAACGTTCAGATAGATTGACAAATCGGTCTCCAAATGGAACAATAAAATCGGATATTTCATCGGCAATAACTAATAATAATAATAATAATACATAGAATTTAACTACAAGTCGTACGTCTTAATACTAAGATGGATAATATTTTTTAATTATAATAATAATAATGTATTATAATATAATATAAATATGAAGAACTATATAGACAAGCAAGAAAATGGATTTATAAATTATCAAATTACACAATTGTATATATAGCTTGCAGTTTTGTAAAGTAAGTTTTAAAGCATAGTAAGGAATCGTAAATGCGTAATACCCAAAACCGGTCTTACAAGTTTTGTTTGAAGTTAACAGTTTCGGCGAATATCATCTGTTTTAGCGTCTCTCTGGGTAGGTCGTCCAGTTCGGTGACAAATCTAAAAGGTTCCTCTGCGACTGGCTAAAATAAAAATCAAATTGACCAGTACGTTTAGTTTTAACGGCAAAAAAAAAAATAATCTTTTTATATGAAAATTTACAAAATTATTGAAAATGGCCGTTTTTAAAAAAACGTTACCTCATCGGCAGGATCGTAATACTGTTCGAGATACGGATGCGCTAACGCTTCTTCTACGGTGATTCTGTTGTGCGGATTGAAGGTCAACATCTTGTCCAACAGGTCCAAAGCTTTGGGATCGGCCGTCGGATAAAGTTGGGAAAACGCTATTTTCGGTTTGAACGGCAACGACTGTAAGTAACTTCGGGCCTGTTTTTCGGCGGAAAAAATTATTAATTAAGTGAGCGATTTCAAAATTGTTTTCGGCAAATGTGTGTCATACTTTATCGTTTATAATGCACAATAAATCCACGGCCGTCGGAGAACCGAGTATTCCTAATATGTGGTTCAGCTGATCCAAATAATGCTTGCCGGGAAATATGGGTCTGTTGGACAACATTTCGGCCAAGATACAGCCGACTGACCACATGTCAATGGATTTTGTGTATCCCTTTTTAATTGGACAACGAAAATACGTTAAATTAACATATTCAAACTACAACGTTCGTAGAGTCACGTAAAAAAAAAATAGTAAATACACACTTTAGAGTTCAACATTATTTCTGGGGCACGGTACCATCTTGTGGCGACATATTCAGTAAGAAATCCTGTATGATCGTGATCGGGATCTGCAACTCTTGCCAAACCAAAATCACAAATCTAGGAATTTAAAAATTTTGATTATTTATCACTGGAAAAAAAATAATTAATTCAAATTGTAGCGCTCGAAACCGTTTACGTCTTTACACAATCGAAAATGATAAAAAAAAAAAATACTTAACGGTATTGTAAATCGAAACAATAATTAGAGAAAGGATCTATGATGTTTATTTTATTATTAACGTTTATCGTTATTACTTTATCACAAAAAATTGTCCGCACAAATCTAATAAAATTATTTTTTTTTAAATGTTCAAATAATATAGGTCGGTTTCAAGCTCTTTAAATAAAACAATTTAGTCATAATACAGGATAATTTAGCAACAATATCTATTATTATTTAAACGCATTATGGTTTACGTACTTTGAGATCACACGTAGTGTTGAGAAGCAAATTACTAGGTTTGAGATCGCGATGTAAAACGTTTGCCGAGTGTATATACTTCAGCCCTCGTAGTATTTGGTAAAGGAAATAACAAATGTGATCGTTACTCAGTCTCTGAAAATGTAGCATTAAGAATGAAGGATATTAATTTTTTGAAGAATATTGAAATTAATCTAATCTATCTAACAGTCGTCTAATAATAAAGTGTACAATCCAAGTAATAATGGACTTTCGACGAGACGAACCTGAGTTTTTAACAACTTATACAAGTCAGTCTCCATCAAGCATTGAACAATGTACACGTCTTTCATTTGTTCAATTGTTTCAGCTCGCAATATATTTCTTATATCGATTATCTATAAACGACAATTAATTATTATATACAATAGTTAGTCAATAAATATATATATATTTTTTTTTCTTTCTTTTATCATCTTATTTATAATCATATTTTTTTTCTTACGTTTTCGTGTTTGAATCTAGTTAATATTTTTATTTCACGTAATGTCCGCTGGCAATAAGTCTGATGTTCGAATGGCGATATTTTTTTTATAGCTACTTTACATTTAGTTTCGTTATCATAAGCCGACCTGCAATCACATTATTTACAATGTTAATTATATAAATTTCATACTGAAAAAAAATGTTTTAATATTTTTATTCTTCTTCTATAAAATGACAAAAAACGTTTAGCCTAAATAATTTATAACACTACCTCGTTCTTAAATGTACAATATTAAACGAGTAAGGCAATAGTAAAATTTAAAATGGTGTCTTTGTACTACCTAAAGAACAATAGGGTTAATGGTCGTTGCAAATATATTTTTTGAAATAAATAGTAGATAAAAACAAACCAGTTAAAGTTATGTTCCTATTAAATTAATTCTATTACCTACCATATTTCTTTTTTAAAATAATTATTTAATACTTCTAATAGGTATTTAATTGTTATTTAAATTATGCATTTATGAATTTAACCTCATAATTTAAGGTGTAAAACTAGCGATTTTTTTATCAGGACTATTTTTTGATTCTCATGGTCGAAAAGTTTTTAAATGTTTAAGATAGTCAAGTTATATTGTACGCAAAGGGTTTTTAACGATATCTGTAATAGCTTCCTTTTTGATACATTTTTCAAATTATCCTATTCTATGATCATAATAACTTTAAAAAAAAATCTTTTAGGCACAATATCGGTTTTTAATTTTCACTAAACCACAAGCGCTAAACAGAAGCGTTTATAAATGATAATGAAATATAAACTAATTGAAGAAAGATAGTAAATAAAACAAAAAATATTTATAAAAAAAAAAGACGCTATGACACAAGTCTGACAGTTCGTCATTATTACTAATAACATAATATACTAATTACTTAAGTTTTAGTTTTTAATTCTACAAAATGTTGGGCGTAAATCAAATCTCTTAATAAAAAGACCGTAAAGGTCTTCTGTTAAATGCATAAAATTTAATGTCAGTCATAAACAAAGTAAGACATTATATTATCGTATGTAACATTTGAACTTTAATTAAATTGTACCTCTCCAGATAGTATAATGTTTTCTGTTTTTATTTTTAGTTTAATAATTATTAGTGAAAGAATATTAAAATCATTATCATCGTAATAAATATTTGGCAGAGATAAATCTATATTTTATAAGTATTACAACAGATAGAGCGAAATTATAATTTGACTAATTTATGTAAAAATATTTGTACTAAAAATATTACTCAAAAGTGTTTTTATTAGTTTTAATTGAATAGATTAGTAATTAAAATACATGCAAAGATTCCTTCAATAAAATATCTTCTAAGAACACAAAAAAAAATGCCATTTCTTTTAAAAAACCTCAAAATATAATTTAATTAATTTTTTTAAATAATTATTTTGACAAACACAAGACATATAAGTTATAAATTAGTCTTAATAGAATAACGTTAGCGTTCCTACACAGCAAATTTTTTTTGCAATATTATTGTAATAGTTTTTAAGATTTATTTTAAAACGGTTTGCATAAAAGAAGTAAATTTTAACGTGGAAATTATTTTTGGCTGGATACACACATTTTTTTACATCAATTTTGCGACATCTTGATTTTTACGTACAACCAAACTGTATCTAGGTAATTATATAGTTCATTACAGATCATAACGTTTTTGAAATGTCGAACGCGAGAGTTTGAACGATTTATCATCACTACGTAGTTTAGTTTGTCCATGTAAAGTTTGCAGTATTCCAATCTAAAGGACAAGAATCGAAAACGCAAAAATGCTGAAGCTGCAAAATGCCCAGATACATAGATTATCGATGACGGACAGAATTTATACGCTTTGTTAGCGATACTCTCGTCATCGTCCGAAACTACTGAAAATGAAATGTACGTCGCTTTGTTACGAAACGAGAAAAATACTGCCAAGACATGTCCGTGTTACTACGTCGTCGTCCCGGGCGACAGAGCAACCAAGAGCGCTCGTTTGTTTCGACACTTTGTCGCGGCAGACGTTTGGCCCGCACCGACTACAACGATGATGATGATAATACGTTAATTAGACAAACGCTAAGGTCCGTTATACTCACACGACCATTCCGTAGGCTCCTTCTCCTATGTAAGAAAGACTCGTGTACCTTGGGCCAACGTCGAATATCTGCCCTCGAATCATTTCTTCAACGTTGGACGCGCCCCGAGTGTAACTCACAAACGAGTACTGCAACCGACGGTGGTTGTTCTTTGGAAACTTACTGGCCAAAACGCGGTGCTTTTGTTGTCGGGGCAAACCGAGTTTGGCGCAAACGAGTCCGTCCTGTTGACTCCAAGTCGATTCGGCGCAACCGTGTACAGCTGCTGCAGTTCCACAGGGTACGGACGTGAGTTATGACTATGGAGTGCAGTGTATCCGCGAGCTACTGGCTGCTGCTGCTGCTGGTGTGATATCCACGTTTGATTGGACGGCCAAAGATAACGCTACCGAGCGCCCAGTTTGACGTCATCCGCGCATTACCAATTGGTTCTCAAACAAAACAGCTGTCGTTTGCCCGCCCGTACGTTTTGGGAACCAATGGACAATGTCGATATTATCACGGCCGGCCCGCCGCGCCGCGGACCGGGCGGTAATCGTACCGCGGTAACCGCGGTAACGACGGTAACGACCGTAGAATTATAGATAAAAAAAAAGCGAAAGGGTGTAAACAAAGAAAAAAAAAAGTGACGACCATTTTGTGAAGACCTATTCGGTATTATGGCAATAATATGTGTCGATATCTAGAGCTCGGGTGTTAATGAATATAATGACCATAATTATACTTACAAATTTGCTGACAAATCTAAAAATAATCATTATAGGCAATAATGTCGAATGTGCAAATATATGCAATATAAGTTTGATGATTTAAAATCTAGTCTTTGCGAATCGAATTTACATCGTATTTAGGTATAGATCTGATTTCATGAACATCTCAGCTTTGGGTAATATAACATTATATAGTGGTGTAGCCCTAAGAAGATGGCCGTCGCGTTTTTGTGTGATAACATATCTTCTCCGTGTTAATTGTTATCAGTCTCCGCCGCCGCGCTGCAACTGTTATCTTTTGTCTTAAAGGTGTCTTCGGTCTCGTCTCGACTAGAGTGTAATATTTACCGGTCATAAAAATAGTATAAATTTTAAATTTTAATAAATAAACAATAATATTTCAATAAGGATAATATATGCGATTGGTCAGATATTCGTATATTTTGATCCCGGCTATTGAACGACGAGATGTTAAAATAATTATTATAACCCAAGAGTGTAATAAATAAATACCTATAGTTGAACATTTTTAATAATATAATATTTATTAATAGTCATGTCCGAAAAACCGACGGTCTTATTGTTCAACAGAAATTCCGTAAGAACAAATCGATTAGTTTTAAGGATTACACACGTTTACGCATTTTACTCACCTTACGTTTTACCTAATTTGGTGTTTTTATTTTTTATTTCAGACTGGTGAAGTCGACGATTCCGAGCTCATAGATGACTACAATAGACAGTATGAAAAAGTGAAAAAAAAAGCCAAAGCCAAACTACAGCCGATCGATTCTTTTTCCGAATTAAGTCTCAACGATAAGGTATTTGATAGATATTTGTATGTTCGATTGTCGAGTAACTATATAATCTATATTACTATGTATGGTTTTGATTTCTAACTCGGATCACGAGTCCTCCAATTTACCCGTGTGCAGTGTAAGTACACCCGACTGTACCATCAGGACAATAACCAATCATGGCCGTTACAAATAGTACACTGTCACTGTTGGAGACATAATCAAGAATACGTAGCCAACCATGGTTATGTACATATGATAGATAAAATAAATATACATGTGTTTTTTAATTTATATACATAAATATCATCATTATACCAAATAGTTGGAATGAAAGGGAAGGAGAAAAATATATATACGTGTATTATGAAATTGCCTTTTTGTTCAAAAAACCCTTTTATACATTTTTCCAATAAAATGCTAACCAATTTATTTTTATTCTAGGACGACAAACCAAAGAAAGGAAAATTAAAAAAAAAAGTAAGTTTATGATGAATCGAATAAATTGATTTAATTTAATTCCACATCATATATACTATATTAAAAATATGAATCTAAGCTGAGTACGATAATGATTTATATTAACTTTATGAAAACCGCAAAAGTTTTTACAGAAAGCTAAATAAAGAAATTAAAAAAAAATAAAGTACAAATAAATTTAATAAATAATTATTATTTTACTTATAAATACTCTTAACCCCCAGGGATGACACTTATAATTTTTTTTCATATTATTAGTTCAAATTTCATTTATTTAATTTTTTTTTTTCAAATGGGAAAAAACCAAATTCCAAATATGTCTTAATTTTAGAAAAAATATTTTTTTTCTTAGAGAATAATTAATTAAATAGTTGTTAATTCGTTCAAAAAACTAAAAATATAAGTTCACAATAAGGTAATTGTTAACGAAAACATGTGTTACATTAAAGTTAAATCTAACGTGATTTTTCTTGACAAAACATACAACATTATTGTACAATATATTTTGTTCATGTTAATTTAAAATTATTATTATTTTTTTTTTTTTTTAGAGTGATTTGAAGTACCAAAACGTTCAAGCCAATGACAAACACCACCATTATGAGGTAAATAAAATATATTTTATAAGAAAATATACTGTTCGACTGTGGTATTAATATTGTTTTTGTATTTTTATTAAGAACAATGAGACCTTCATTCCGCCTCCGCCGCCGCCACCAGATTTCTTAGATAACTTACCGAAAAACGAAAGAGAAGCGTTAACTGCAATGTTGATGTCATACTATATGACCGGATTCCATACTGGCAAGTACTCTCGTTAATTCGAAACGCAAATATTTCTGTGTTTTGAATTAACCTAATAAAAAGTTGACATTTTATAAATTTTTTATTACAGGATATTATCTGGGATTGAAGAAAAATAGTAAACAAGACTAAAGGATTAGTCTCGAAAATAACTCCCATCATAATTATAAATGTGCAATTGTACATATTGTGTTGTATACATTTTTACCATTATAATAATAATAATAATATAAACATTACGTAAGTAAATATAAGACTGGTGGATTGTGTTTTATATTTTAAATACAAATTTTTCTCTGCATTACGCATTCGCTGTCAGAGACGGGTTGTTATTCATTTGCCAGTAAGTGTAATGGATCATTTCGCTGGACGGTTTCTCATCTGGAAATAAAGGAGCCATTTTTTTTTCTAGATTACTTATTTTATCAAAATATACAAGTAAAATAACAGAGATTCCGTTCGCTTTAGCAAATCTTGTGAAAACAGCTTTTGCATTTAGTACACATTTAAGGTTTTCTTGAAAGTGCTTTCTATTTATCAATTTTTTATTACTTTCCAGCTAGTCAAAATTCAGCTGATTTTTTATCCTTGGAAATTGTGTGTATAAATATGTATAAGCTTCGACACTGAGTTGAGAAGATATTGGTTTTACAATGAAGTGTAATTAATTATTTTCATCCCATTAGTTTATTTTTTTATTAATAAATAAATTAAGAAAATCAGTAATTTGAAAGTGTTGAAAAAAATTATGAATTATAATAAAACAGTGACTCATTTTAAGACTAATACAAAAAATCATTGATAACGTTGGAAGTATACATTTTTTTAAACCTAATATTTAATTTAATAAACCTAAATGTTGTGTTGACACTCGAATTTCGATCCGGGTTTTAAGTATACCCATAAATAATAATCTATAATGTCAAATAGTATTAGCGATAATAGAACGAAGCAACATTTGTGCCCCAAGTTAACCTTGTCGTGTCTATGCTTCTACTACAGAATACAGGGTGATTATTTTATTGTCAACTACTCATTATCTAATATTAATAGGGTTTAATAAGAAATTTAAT